TCTCTCTCTCTCTCTCTCTCTCTCTCTCTCTCTCTCTCTCTCTCTCTCAAGCGTCCCATACCCAGGCTTCCTCCCCCAGGAGCATTATATCACACCTGGGTATTTCACACTCCACAGAGCTCCACGCTCGTTAAATCACTGATTTCCCATGAAATCAGGAGGGGATATGCCACCATGCATCACGCCTGACTTTTATATCTAATGGAGAAGTGGTGATGAAGTTAAAGGGGTCGTATGATGTGTGGGTTTGAGAGTGGAGAAAGAATATGGGGGGGGAGAGAGAGCGAGAGCGCAACGAGCAGAAGGGAATGTCCAGAGAGGTGGGTGATTGGTTAAAGTATAGTCTGTATGTCATCTATAGGATCCACTTGAGTGAGAGGAGGAGAATAATAGTTTCTTACTTTTATTCTCTCGTCTGTAGTGAGGCTGATAACAATTCTTGCTTTTCTTCTAGCCTCTCTTAACTCTGTTTCACCCTTATCTCTTGAGTGGTTCAACTCCTATCCGTCTGTTTCCTCATCTATGTAACGTACTTGCGGTGTACCTCAAGGATTGATTCCTCCTATTCCTCTATACTGTGACCTGAGAAGGTTTCTCTCTCCTCCTCCCTGTCTCACCTCCATCTCTCTCCCTTCTCCATCACCTCCCTGCCTTTCAAGTCTACGCACCAACAGCTCCTCTCTAAACAAATGTCACTTTCTAAATTGGCCCGCATTGGCAAGGCAGGAGAGCATTTTCGTTTTGGACAGCTGTTAATCTAAGAGGGTTGCCGGTGGCAGTGAGATTGTGGCGGGGACAGCGACAGTGGCAGGGAGAGGGACGACAATCTGGAGCAGCACTGAGAATGACGCAATGTGGGAGAAAGACGAAGTTTGAGTCTGGGTTGTGCCAATGTTGTGTCACTATACATCTTTCACCTTCTCTACATTACTGTATAGTATGGACTATGGGATGTTAATGTAGAAGCGCATACCCTGCAGTTTCATTCAAGCCTCTGCTCGGAAGCCTCAGCCTCACCCGCATAGGAATGTAATGGGATTTCATCCCCCTACTCCCCTTCTTTCTTTCACACATAGACACACAATGGAGCACACACAGACACACAGCGCCCGGGGAACCAATCACCAGCTCCTCTTCTCGGGTCCTGTTTGTGAATGGGATTGTTACGGGAGAGGAGGAGGCAGGCACCGCTGCGTTTGTACGCATGCAGCTGCTTCACTGGGAAACATCAGCATCCCATTCTCATTTCTGAATTATTTCTCCCACTCTCTTTTGGCTGTTCTATAATTCATTTTCAATGTTTTTTAGTTTATTTTGTCTCACGCCCTGATTTCCATTTTTGCCTTTATGTCCATCTTCATGAATTCTCTCCGTCTCTTTTTTTTGTCTTTTTTGGATGCAGCAGTCGATTTTGACTTCCTTTCTTTTTCCTTGCTTTTCTTTAATTTCTCCCCTGACACACCATTACCATCATCATCATCATCGTCAAATAGCGCTGTTTGTTTCTTTTACATCTCTTTTCACTTTCCTGTCATGTCACTCTGCCATATGCTGCAGAACAGCTGGTTTTCTCCACAACCCTTTTTATTCTTTTCTTTTCACCAGTCACTCCACCTGCCTCCTAAAGCAGCAGCTGATGCATGTAAGGTTAATGAGCACCAACACACACACACACACACACACACACACACACACACACACACACACA